CATTAGCTATCCTGCAGTCATCTGGTACAGAAGCTGATTTAAATGATAGGTTACAGACTACAGGTAGTAGTTCTGCAGTTTCACATTTGAGTTCCTTCAGAACTCTTGGGTGAATACCATCTGGTCCTGGTGACTTTTTTGCTGTTTAATTTATCAATTTGTTCCAAACCGCCTCTACTGATACCTCAATCTGGGACAGTTCCTCAGATTTGTTACCTAAAAAGAATGGCTCAGGTTTGGGAATCTCCCTCACATCCTCAGCCGTGAAGACGGATGCAAATAATTCATTTAGTTTCTCTGCAATGGCCTTATCATCCTCGATCATCCAGTGGCCTCACTGGTTGTTTAGCAGGCTTCCTGCTTCTGATGTGCTTAAAAAAAATTTGCTATTACTTTTTGAGTCTTTGGCTAACTGTTTCTCAAAGTCTGTTTTGGCCTTCCTAATTGTATTTTTACACTTCATTTGCCAGTGTTTATGCTCCTTTCTGTTTTCCTCACTAGGATTTATCTTCCACTTTTTAAAGAATGCCTTTTTACCTCTCACTGCTTCTTTTACTTTTTTGTTTAGCCACGGTGGCTCTTTTTGGTTCTCTTACTATGTTTTTTAATTTGGGGTATGCATTTAAGTTGAACCTCTATTATAGTGTCTTTAAAAAGTTTCCACGCAGCTTGCAGAGATTTCACTTTTGTCACTGTACCCTTTAATTTCTGTTTAACTAATCTCATTTTTGTGTAGTTCCCCTTTCTGAAATTAAATGGTACAGTGTTGGGCTGCTATGGTGTTTTTCCTGCCACAGGGATATTAAATTTAATTTTATTATGGTCACTATTACCAAGTGGTCCAGCTATATTCACCTCTTGGACCAGATCCTGTGCTTCACTTAGGACTAAATCAAGAATTGCCTCTCCTCTGGTGGGTTCCAGGACCAGCTGTTCCAAGAAGCAGTCATTTAAGGTGTCAAGAAACTTTATCTCTGCATCCCGTCCTCAGGTGACAGGTACCCCGTCAATTGAACAGAAAATAACAGGTTAAAGAATATTTAGATAAGTTAGGAGTATACAAGTTATTAGGGCCTGATGAATTTCATTCCTGGGTTCCTAAGGAACTAGCTGAAGCACCCTTGGAACCATCAGCAATTACCTTTGAGAACTCATGGAGGCTGTGTGAGGTCCCAGAGGACTAGAGAAGGGCTAGCATAGTGCCTGTTTTTAAAAATGGAAACAAAAGAGGACCTGGGAAATTATAGACCAGTCAACCTAAATACCTGGAAAGATTATTAAACAATCAATTTGTAAGCACCTAGAGAGTAACAGAGAGACAAGGTGGATGAGGTAATATCTTTTATTGGACCAACTTCTGTTGATGAGAGACAAGCTTTTGAGCTACACAGAGCTTTTCCTCAGGTCTGGGAAAGGTACTAAGGGTATGTCTTCACTAGCAACGTTAAAGCGCTTCTGCAGCAGCGCTTTAATGTGGTTGTGTAGTTGTAGCACCGGTGCTGGGAGCTGAGGCGAGTAGCTAACAGCGCCGGGAGCACAGTTCCTAGTGTTGGTGCACTGTCTACACTGCCACTTTACAGCACTGAAACCTGCAGCGCCAGGGGTGTGTTTTTTCCACACCCCTGAGCGAGAAAGTTTCAGCGCTGTAAAGTGGCAGCATAGACAAGGCCTAAGAGCGTCCCAGCTAAATACAAGATTGAACAGATAGTTTAGCATAAGTAATTAGCACGTGTTCTAATGAACCATTCAAGGTGAAGTGGCCCGTTAACACCCTTGTAGTCATAGGACAAATCGACTGGGGGTTAGTGGGTTACAGAATGCCATAAATCCAGTGTCTTTATTAAGACCATGATTTTTAGTGTCTATCAGAGTTATGAATTAAGCTCCCAGGCTTGTTTTTTTGAAAGTGCTGTGCAGTTTCCTTTGAGGATGAGGTCTCGTAGGTCAGCAATAGAGTGATTGCTTTGTGAAAAGTGTTCACACATAGGTGATATGGTGTTTTTGTCTTTTATTATTTTCCTGTTTGAATTCATTCGAGAGTGTAGTGATTGTCTAGTTTCACCCGCATAATTGTTACTGGGACATTTAGTGCACTGGATGAGATAGGCCACATGTTGTGATAGGCATGTGTAGGATCCATGGGTCTGGAAGGATGTGTTGTGGAGAGTGTTAATCATTATAGCAGTGGAGATATGTCTGCAGGTTTTGCATCTGTTGTTGTGGCAGGGTGTGGTGCTACTTTGAGTTGGTGTGTCCTGGTCTCTGGGGAGCTTGTTTCTGATGATGAGCTTGGAGAGGCTGTGGGGCTGTTTGAAGGCCAGGAAAGATTTTTTTCAGTGTGGGGTCCCCATTGAGTATGACTTGCAGTTGTTTGATGATGCCTTGTATCAGTTTCAGTGTGGGGTGGTAAGTGACACCCAAGGGTGTGTGGTCAGAGGGGGATTTATTTCTGTATTGATGCAGATTCCATGATGCGATCCACTTCTCTGGTGGAATATCCTTGTTTGGTGAAGGCAATTTTGAGTGTGTTAAGGTGTATATCAAGACCACTAACTACTTATTCTATAAACTATCTGTTCAATCTTGTATTTAGCTGTGATGTTTTGAGTATCTTTCCCAGACTTGAAGACAAGCTCTGTGTAGACCAAAAGCTTGTATCTCTCAGCAACAGAACCTGGTTCAATAAAAGATATTACCTCACTCACCTTGTCTCTCTAATATTCTGGGACTAACATGGCTACAACAACACTCCACAGAGGATAATATGCTTGTAAAGAATTGCCAGCATGGATATGTCACGAACAAAAACCAACCTAATTTCCTTCTTTGACAGAGTTACTTGTTTACTGCTATATCTTGATTTTACCAAGTATTTTGACACAATCCCATTTGATAGTCTCATAAGCAAGCTAGGGAAATGTGGTCTATATGAAATTACTATAAGGTGGGTTCATAACTGGTTGAAAGACCATATTCAAATAGTTATCAATGGTTCACTGTCAAACTGTGCGGATGTATCTCGTGGGGTCCGATAGGGGTCAGTCCTGTGAGAGACACTAGTCAATATTTTCATTACTGACTTGGATAATGAAGAGAAGAATATTCGTATAAAATTTCCAGATGAAACCAAGTTGGGAGGGGTTGCAAGCCCTTTGGAGGACAGGATTAGAATTCAAAAGGATCTTGACGGTTTGGAGAATTGATCTGAAATCAACAATATGAAATTCAGTAAAGACAAGTGCAACGTACTTCACTTAGGAAGGAAAAAATCAAATGCAAAACTACAAAATGGGGAATAACTGGCTAAGTGGTAGTACTGTTGAAAAGGACCAGAGGGTTATAGAGGATCCCAAACTGAATATAAGTCAACAATGTGATGCAGCTGCTAACAAGGCTAATATCATTTTGGGGTGTATTAACAGGGGTATCTTATGTAAGACATGGAAGGTAATTGTCCTGCTCTACTCAGCACTTATAAGGCTTCAGCTAAAGTACTGTGTCCAATTCTGGGTACCACAATTTAGGAAAGATGTGAACAAATTGGAGAGAGTGCAGAGGAGGGCAACCAAAGTGATACAAGGTTTAGAAAACCTGACCTATGAGGAAAGGTTAAAAAACTAGGCATGTTTAGTCAAGAAAGGAAGACTAAATATGTGAAGGACTGTTGATAAAGAGGACTGTAATCAATTGTTCTCCATGTGCACTGAAGGTAGGACAAGAATTAATCAACTTAATCTGCAGTAAGGGAGATATAGATGAGATATTAGGAAACATTTTCTACCTATATAAGTAGTTAAGTACTGGAACAGGCTTCCGAGTGAGGTTGTGGAATCCCCATCATGGGAAGTTTTTAAGGACAGGTTGGACAGATGTCTGTCAGGGATAGTCTAGGTTTACTTGGTCTTGCCTAAGTGCAGAAAGCTGGAGTTGACGACCTCTTGAAGTCCCTTCCAGTCCTACATTTCTATGAGTCTGTGATTGGCGGAATATCAGAGCAGTGTCCTCTGTGAAAGGATGCCGCAGCTTTAGCCAATGTAAGGCATAGGGGAGAAGTAGCTTCTGAAGCTTCTGCTACCAATGAGGATAGCAAGGAAAAGAACCAAGGTATTAAGGAAATGAAAGATTCCTTTCTTTCAGTCATCCTCCAGCTAGTGAGAAGTTTCTGAGCTGGCTTTCAATTACTTTCCTCTCCCATCTCTCCATCTAGTGGCAAAGAAACTGTAGATTTAATATTGGGAAAAGATTTCAAGTGGTGAAATTTGTTAGATTAGTGGTTCCTAGATGGTGGTATATGGAACGCTTTCCAGTGATTCAGAAAGGAGATAGTTGGTCACATATGCAAAGTTATATTTATTTTTCTATGCACTAAATAGTTTCCTAACATTAATTGTCTGTGTAAGCAACTGCTGTACTTCCCAAAGGGATTTTATTGGATTTCCAGTGGAAGGGGAGGTGGCCCACTTGATCATGAATCGGATGGGAGGCGTTCATGACATGAAGTCTACAATATGAAAAATTTGGGGAACTCTACAGTAGACTGCTGAAATAATCTTCCAAAGGAAGTAGTGAAGTCTCTATTGCATGAATCTTTTAAAATTGGACTGAAAGAAACCCTGGAGAATATGGAGTAGGGAAAATCATTAGCACAGGAATGGACAAGTTAATTAAAGAGTTCTTTCCCATCACTAACTTCAATGAGTAACAACTATGAGAGGTATTTTCTAGATTTATTAAACTATTCTTTTTGATACTCATAATTGATAAATGGGACTCATGTCTGTATAAGTCAGTCTTTTAAACTATTGTCTCTTATGCTTTGCTCCAACAGGGCATTTTTAACTTATGTGTTAACAAAATTATAAAACAAATAATATAATTCATTTAATTTACTGCTAAAATGTAATAGTTGTTTCTTTATTCATATCACAGGAAAGGTCTTGGAAAGATAACATACATAAATGGAAATCAAATCACTTGCTAATTATTGATTGTTCCTCTAGAATAAGCAGATATCCAGGGATTTGTTGGCCAAGAACACATTATATAGAAATGCAGAACTTGCGCTTGAGAGATACAGAAGCCAAGCAGTGCAGGTAGTGCAAGGCTTTCAAAGGATATTTATGAAGAGAGGAAACTTTAAATGCTTACAAACATTATTTCTTTTTATTTTAATAAACTATTCTTACTGGTTTTGTTGTTGTGCAGATGACACTATTTCTTTTACTGTCCTCTTACAATAATATAATTGTACTGTCAAATATGTATGATTTCATAATATTTCTTCAGGCATCTAGTTTTATTTAACAGCCATCACTCAATGGTATGCTCTTAAGTATTCTCATACTAAAAGACTCTAAATCTTATGTCTTGAAAATCTAGTTTTTAAGATTGTTTCTTTCTTTTTTGCCGGTAGAATGAATACCTTGCAAAAGAATTAAATGAGAGAGAGAAAGATTTGGAATGGAACAGGACTGCGATAGCCAAATTTCAATCTAAATGTAAGCTGTAATTCTTTGTTAGTATAGGCCATGATTAAATTTATAAATAGCTGCTGATAGTCAGATCTTTATGTATAATTTTTAGAGGGCTAATATTCTCCTGCTTTATTTTGTTACACTTGGAAATCTAATTTTTCCTTTAATATTTTAAGGTACAGTTTACTTGGTGTTTTTCAGAATGCATGAAAGGCACTGTATGTGTATGTGTGTATATATATTTGGATGGCTATATATATGGAAGGCTTTTATGACCTAATACCTTTAAACTCTGAAATGTAGATTGAGGGTTGGTCCTGATAAGCTACAAAATGATGACAATGAAACTTAATTTACCAAGTGTCAGAGGGGTAGCCGTGTTAGTCTGGATCTGTAAAAGTGGCAAAGAGTCCTGTGGCACCTTATAGACTAACAGACGTATTGGAGCATAAGCTTTCGTGGGTGAATACCCACTTCGTCAGATGCATGCGTCTGACGAAGTGGGTATTCACCCATGAAAGCTTATGCTCCAATATGTCTGTTAATTTACCAAGGTCTCTTATTTCTTTAGAACTTCAATAAATACTTTAAACTTTCATATATCTTCTGTAAAAGAGTTTCTATTGTGTGGTACATATTCCTGATTTTAAACTTAAAAGTTAACATCAGTGGCACTATATGGAACACATTTTATTTATTTTAATATATGGTTGGTATTTAAAAAAACAAATTGCTTAGATGTAATCCAGCACAGCACTTAAGCACATGCCTAACTTTAAACCCATGAATGTCCCATCGAAGACAGTGGTACAACTCACTTGCTTAAAGTTAGGAATGTGCTTATGTGCTTTGCTGGATCAGATCATTAGTAAACAAGGGGTTGGGGAGTCAGAATGATGCATTTACTACTTGTGCACAGAAATCTGAAGTCTCTGAACTCTGTAGGTGGGTGTGTATTTCTTTGAATAAGATGAGCCATTTTTATTATATGTCAGACTAACAGAAACTGAGATGGACTTGTATTTTTCCAGAGTATTTTAAAATATTTTAGTAATTTTAGAAATATACATTATTGTATTGCAGTAAAAGAATTATCAGAAGAAAACAAGCAGCTTGAGCAAGGAATGAAAGAGATATTACAAGCTGTCAAGGAAATGCAGAAGGATCCTAGTGTGAAAGGAGGAGAAACAGCCTTAATGATCCCTAGTCTGGAGCGATTAGTAAATGTAAACCTTCTTTCATTTGAATTATTTGGCTTGGTAGAAGTTACTTATAGAGTTCTCTTTGTTTTGACTGCTCCAGTGTTGAACATTAGCTGTTATATGTTCAAAATACTTCCTAAAATCTTAAAAACACAAATCAAATGACAAATGAGAGTAAAATTCATCTTGACTGAATAGTCAATCTTTAAAGCATTGCAGAATACTTCAAAAATGGATGTAGTATTTTACATAAAAGCAGCTTATAATGTATTAAATATATGACTTTTTAAAAGTAATCTACTTTGAGTTGTCATGGTAGAGATCAGATCACTGAAATATTAGCTTGAGACATGATGATGTTCATGCATGAAAGTGTTTGTACTGTTAGATTTAGTTTTCTTAATCACTTAGCGGCTAGATCTGCGCCCAGCTCACAGTCATGGCTACGTAAAGCAGAATGCTTCCCAGTGCTCCCTAGGTTTCCTGGTAGGATTGCAGTGACACGCTCATTTTGGGTTGTCGGAACTCCCCTCAGCACAGACAGACAGCTCTACGAGCTGACATGAGGATGGGGTTGAGTTATGGCTTTGCCTACTTTTGTCTCTCACTTCCCCTTTATGATGATTGGATGGTATTAGTCCCTGTACTCCCTCTGTCACAGCAGCTGCAATTTTGAGCCCCACTTATGCACACTGGAAAGCTCCAGTTTATTGGGAAATATGGAAAAGTATTTGCTTTCTTTTGCTTGTTTCTTGTTTTTCTGTTTACTAAATTAATTCTTATTGTGATAGGCAATTGAATCAAAGAATGCAGAGGGAATATTTGATGCCAGTTTGCATTTGAAAGCTCAAGTTGACCAGCTTACGGGGCGAAATGAAGAATTGAGGCAGGAGCTGAAAGGATCTCGAAAAGAGGCAACAAATTTCTCTAACCAGTTAGCAAATGCTAATGTAAAGGTATATATTCTAATTTGTTTTTCAGTGCTAATATAGAATAATTTGCTGTCTCCATGACTAACACAGAACAAAATACACTTAATATTTTGTATTAAAATCCTTTTAAATACTAGATATTGCTATCAGTTTTTTTAATGTAACTCACACATTTTATTTTACTTACACATTTTGAAAATATGTAAAACCTCATATATAATTGACAAGAGATACAATCATACATACTTGTTACTATATTTATAGATTATAATCTATGTACTTGTTCTCACTGAGTTAAAATCCAAATAATCCAAATGTTATTCCATACTTACAAAAACCCTAATACCAAGGCCCCATCATAGAATTGGTCTACTAGGCGAGTTGTTGGGGAGAGCTGTGCTAAATGTGAGTTGCAAAAAGATTTTTGTTTCTTTTTTCTTAAAATGAGCAATAATCATCTTACACTTCTTACATATGTGAGAGATTCAAATAGCAAGGCTAATGGGGATTCAACAAATAAATTGATTTTAAAATATTTTCCCTTTTGGCCACTGAAATAATAGCTGGTGATTTTAGCTCAACTGTGAATGTTTCCAAATGTTTATATTATATGTCCCAAAGGCTATAACATATTAATATTAAACATATCTTCAAAGTGACATCTTTATAAAAAGGCAGACTCTCTATATGAACCCTTTAAGACAGCTGTGTGATCCAGTATGACTTCCTAGTATCTGTAGCATTACAGAACAGTATTTTCTGGGGCATCGTCGTTAGAGATTGTAGTCAAAGCTCTTTGAAGGGTTTAAAACAGAAAGACTTGGTAAATTTAGAGTAAATGTGCTGGATAGCCATCTGAGCCTAGCAGTTTTGGACACTGAGGCTTAGCTCAGTCTCCATATGAATGTTTGTGGGTAAAAAGAAAGAAAATAACCTACAAATTATATGCTTGAGCAGCTAAAGTAAAATTGAGATGGATCTCCAGCTGTGTGAGCCTGCTCTGGATGCTTGATCATTTTTAGCCATTTGACTCAAAGTATTGTGTTTTAATCTTTTTGTGGAATTGTACATTTTGTATCCATATTTTTGGCTGAATAATAGAAGTTTCTTCTTACTGCTTCTATTCTCTTTATTTATTTTCTTTAGATTGCACAACTTAAAGATGAAGTTTGTTTGTTACGTCAATCGGAAGGCGCCAATATAGTATTCAGAGGAGTAAACCGTCCAGAAGGGATGACTCCTTCAAGTGCTAATATAGTTAATTCTCAGAACGAATATTTAATACATCTTTTACAGGTAACTGATTTAACCTGCATACTTGGGGTATTTGTAACATGTATTGACTCCTTCCAAATCTGTTGTTATATCATATGTGGAAACTGGGGAGGCTCCTAAAAACTGTAATGTGTATTGTTGTAATAGAATACAGTTGCCTGAACCTTCCTTGTATCACATCTCTGGGCTAGAGATTATTTAATTTCTAATCCCACCAAAGCAATCTGCAAGGAAGGGCCAATCCCTTTTTCCTCTCCTGTACCCAACAAGACAAAGAAGACTTCTTGTCTAGAATTGCATTGTTTCATATGCAGTGTAGTCATCAAATGCAATTTAAAGATCCCAAAAATCAGGAATATTTCAGTATGTCTGGAAGAACACTCAGTATGTATTGGCTCCTCCTGGACAGCTTGAGGTACTCAATTTTTTCATTTTTGGGCTCCTAAGCTTGATGTGCTTTGTGAGTTATGTTAAAGAGTTTATTAAACAACTATACATTCCCAGCATCACAAATAGACTTTATACAATACACTTGAGAGAAAAGCATGTATGGAAAGGAGTGGACAGTTTTTACATTTTTACATAAAGTCTAATGTTTGTAAAGCCAGAGGACAATCAACAAAAAATGTCTATTCTATTGTTCTTCTCATCTAAATTCCCATGCCTGTTTTATATAGAGAATTTTAGTACAGAAGGTTAGGAGACCATATTCAAGCATAAAATAAATGGTGAGGGATGTAATCTTCCTAATTTGGCCAGTGGGAAGTTGGGCTTTTGTGTGAATTTATAAAGAAAGCCATTTCCTTTGCTTGCTATGGGTCAATTTCTTCATTACCAGAATGCCATAAATATAGTTTTACCAAGATTATATTAGAAGATTTTTTTCCCCCAGAAAGTTGCCAGAGTGAATCTAGCTGGAATAAATATATAAGTACTGAAAATATTTGTATGTTCTGTCATGAAAAAGTGTTTATAGCCTTTGTAGCTTTTGCATTTTTTTTTTAGAAACCTGTAATTATTATTTTTCTAGATTAGGCATTTATCAAGAAATACACAAAAGTTAATATGTAAGGGTTATGTTGTTTAAAAGAATTCTTTTTTTTTTTTTTTTTAAACTGAATACTGGTCGGCAAAGTCATGCATCCTCATTGAATTCTCTACTACTTCTGCCACACGCTTCTTCTGTGCAAAGCTCCTTGTAGTCTTCTGTTTACTTATTTTATTTCTCATGTGAGTTAGTTGCTCATTTGTATGGGGGGAATGGTCTGAATGTTGAGAAGAAGGGCATAAATATGCTTGAATTAAAACTGTTGATTGCTGGGATGAAGGGAAAGATAAAGTGATAAATGGAGGGATGGGGACTTAAAAAACAAGCACACAAAATATAAATGGGAGGATGGGGACTTAAAAACAGGCACACTAAACATAACTAATAAGATGTGTGCCTATCATCACCCCGATCAGCTTGCTTGTATCAGAAAAGATTTGTTTATATTGTATAGTTATGAAATATGAATGCATTTGGCAGTGGGAGAAATGCTTAACATTTTCCAGGTGTGCAGTTTCATTAGTAGTCTGTATGGACAACTCCCAAAATGTCAAGTAATTCTCAACTCCTTTTGGTCTGTGATGTGTAAAATTAATTATTATTAATTTATTACTTATAAATATTTAAACATTACTTTTATTTAGACTGTTTTTGATATGTTGTTTTAGCATAAAGATGCAGGCTGTTTCTTCAATGCATTGATCTCATTGGCGCAAAGGTCTACGCGAGAGAGTACCATTGGATGACTTTGATGAATATTTTCAGATTTGAAGCATACATTGTTAATTATATCATTATTTTTTATTTTGAAAATGATCATTAGGAACTAGAAAATAAAGAACTATTACTTAAGAAATTAGAAGAAGCAGTAGAAGAATATAAGCGAAAATTTGCAGTAATTCGCCATCAACAAGGCTTGCTATATAAGGAATATCAAAGGTACAAATCCTTTGGGGTCTTCCTTTTGAAATGGTCAGGGTGATAAAACCTTAAACTTTCAAAGTGTTTTAAATATTTTAAATAAGAGAAAATATTAATAATTTCCCCACTGTGTTCAAGTTGTTATTTCTATTAGCATCATGGAGACTTGTGTGAAATAATCATTCTTCTTTTAGGTGGCCTCTGTGTATTCCCCTTGGTGCTGCTGTGCTTCAAAAACCTTTTAGAAAAGCAGTGTCTGTTGCGCTCACATATTGTTGCCTGCTTTGTGGCAAGAACTATCCTGTACAATTTTCACAGTGACAGAAATCATTTTTAGCACCAGGGAAATCTGCAAATTGCGACTCTGTCAAGCTTCCCTTGAATCTGCATCCGGAAACTCATTTGTACCTGAATGCATCCGATGAAGTGAGCTGTAGCTTACGAAAGCTTATGCTCAAATAAATTTGTTAGTCTCCAAGGTGCCACAAGTACTCCTTTTCTTTTTGCGAATACAGACTAACACGGCTGCTACTCTGAAACCTGTCATTTGTACCTGACATTTGTGGAAGCCTCACTTCCAGTCTTCTCTGCTTTCAGGCATAAGAGTAGGAAAAATTGGAGCTCAGAGGAAATCTTGTTCTGAGGGACCCAGTGTTATTACAAACGAGGAAGAGGAAACATTGCTCTGGATCCAGGGATCACAAGTGCAGACTGGAGATGTCAGTTCCAGGGGTGTCTCTGGACCTTCATGTAAAGCCAGTTCCTAAGCCAATTCCTCTCCTTTCCCACCAGAGGGTTAAGACAGAAATTGTTTAGATCGGAGAATGTACGCGAGTCAGGGCCGGCTCCAGGCACCAGCTTTCCAAGCAGGTGCTTGGGCGGCATTCAGAATGGGGCAGCAGTCAGTGTCCCACGGCGGCAATTTGGCGACAGCTCCGCCACTCTTCCAGCCGCAGTGGCTTTTGGGCAGCAGCTCCACCACTCTTCCAGGCGTGGCGGCAATTCGGCGGAAGCTCTGCCGCTGCTTGGGGCGGCAAAATTGGTAGAGCCACCCCTGACGTGAGTCTCTTAATTTGGATTCCAAGTTCTGGGGGCTGCCCAGATTGATATTTCACTATTGAATTAGGCCTGGAGGCTCACTTGGGCAGCTTCTGAGACAAAAGAGCTTCCTTTGTTTTCTGGGGATTTATGTTTGTTGACTAACTTCACTAGCAGTTTCTGGATCCTGTTTTTGTGTCAGTCTGTGACGTTTGGGTTGCACCTCTATTCCTGCAAGTACAAGAGGCAGATAATCTTACGCATGGGGCCTTGGGATTTGGCCACACCTCTTCTGCCTATGTACTAGAGTCTCTGCCTCCAGCCAGGCAAAAAAATAGTGATTGAGTGCTCCCACTTTCCCTGATGCATTCAAGTACAGCTGGTCAAAACTTGGAATTTCTGTTCCATTGAGCATTCTGAAATTTGGAAGTGTTTTTTCCATTTTGGAACAAAAACTGGAAATTTCTAAATTTTCATGGAAAGGAAATTATAAGTTTTTGTTTCAAGAAAAAAATTAACCATTTCATTTAGATTTTCCTGAAACAAAACAGAGCAGCTGGCTCCCCTGCTTGCAAGGCACTACCTGGACTTCCCCCACATCCGCCAGTAGGAATTGGAGGAAGCCTCAGGACTATGTCATGGTTGGGAAGTCACCTGCCATGAAGCAGGCAGCCTAGAAGCCCTGAGAGCCCTGGTTCAAGCTGGGGCTCCACAGCTTCCAAAGTTTCCAGGCACTCTGCTGTGTAGCAGAGACCTGGGAAATCCTGAGAGCCCTGGTTTGAGCTAGTGCCCCCAGGGCTGCCCTGCTTCATGAGCCTCCCAAATCTTTAAGGTTCCCAGGACTACGGCAGGGACTTTGGAGCCACAGATACTAGAAGTCCGAGGTCTCTAGTCCTGGGGCAGTCTGCATGGTGGAGCCAAGGACCCTTGCCTTCTAGGGTCTGTGACTCTGAGGCAGCCCCACTATTACAGAGCTTCCAATTTGTATGGCAGAGCTTCCCTGGATATGTGAACCCAGGAAGGCGTAGTAACGTCAGCCTTTGGGCACTCTTTATCGCACAGCTGCCGCAGATCCTGGAAGCCTGAGCTACCCAGGAGCTTGCCAGGAAACCTGACTGTGATTCAATGAAAGTTTGCTGAACACACGATATTTCCACAAAATGTTTTGCGGTCGATAAATCGGCATCTTCCAACTAAACTCTGTATCATTACAAAATTATTGACAAGATCATTCCAACTGTAAAAGCTTTTTTGAAGTAGCAGTGAGCAGAATCTTGCCACCCACTTAAGAGAGCAAAGATTCCAGGCCTCTGCATCTCAGATAGAACCACTGTCAAATTTCTTCTCTCCTTTTTCCTCCTTCTCCCCATCATGATGGAAGCGAAGCTGTAGATGTAGATGTAGTCTGTCTGCGAGGAGACCCTCTTGGGAGCCAAAGAAGAGAAGCTCTCCCACAACTGCTCCCAGCCCACAGAACCTCACTGTGACCAGGGAAACATTTTAGAGTCTGGACTGCTTATAGGAGCCTCCTCATCTCCCCAAACCAGTTGAAACTTGTATGAGAGAACTTCCCCAAGGATAGACCAGTCTCTTCAGTTCTTGAGTACCAACAGACCACACTTTCCTCACTGATGTGGGGGCTTGGCCACACAGTGCAGACTGCAGGGCCCACTAAAGTGAGTTGCTGTGGCCTCTAAAGTGTTGCTCGGTGACAGCCCTAAGTGAATCATGCTAGCGTGAATAGATAGCTTTCAAATGGGATTGTGTTAATGTGAACTTGTTACCTTTTAGTTTGCTCTAGCAGGGTCTACATGGGATACTTACAGAGCGAAACTTTAGTGTGCGCTGCAGTTCACACTTCAGGGCCCTGTAGACAAGCCTTGGAATCTTTTGGAATCACTTCAAATATCTTTTCAAATCTGCTGATCTAATAAACTTCAGAAGGAAAACACACCAGGATTCCCTTACCTGATCATAACAGGGTAACAGTCTGGTAAGAAGGCTGGCACCCTTTTTGCATCTCCTTTTTCACAACAGGAAGATCTGGGCTTTCTGCAAGAAGTATCTCATACTTCATATGTTCACGTTTGATGGAATTTTTCTCTTAATAACATATTTTCAAATTTAGACTAGTATGCATTCTTCACCACAGACTACAAAACACAGTTATAACTTTTAATAGTGAAGTTAATTTTGAGTTTTCCAAACTCATTTAAAAAAAATTGAAAAATGTTTTAATGGTATCATATTTCAGTTAATAAGATATTATCATAATATCTTATTTCAGTTAATAAGATTGTAATGGCAACATGATTTACAAACAGTTTTGAAAAATCTTTACAATATTTCATATTTCTGAATGAAAACGTTGAACTATTTTTATTTAAATATATTTTTTTTTAGTGAAAAAGAAAGTTGGCAAACAGAATCTGAAAAAATGAAAGAAGAAAGGAAGAAGCTAGAAGATCAAAAGCAACATGATGCTATGAAAATAAAGGAATACAATGTAAGCAGGGATATTTTTGTTGTTGTTTTTTCAATTGTTTAACTTTGCTTGAAAATGTGTTAGATTTTTCACAATTTTAGAGTTTTTAATGCAGGAGTAAAAAAATGTCCAAAGTTTACTTGGCACACGGGGAGAGAGAAATTAGAGTGTGGTATGACTTACAGCTACACTATCTTGAATTGTAATATTACTCACATGTTCATCTTATTTATGCACATTGTGTTTTATTAATTTAATGTATTTAAACTGTTGGCATGCATAGTATAATAATAGGCCAAATTCAGCCCCTTAAGAGGCTGCAAGTTCTTGTTGCTTAATTAGTGATGTCATACTTGCTTATATCATGGCTGAATTTGACCCAGTGTATTATATTAGGAGCAAGTGCTTAATTTGTAGTGAAAGAGGTGCCGGGGCTCAAGCAATTTTTGACTTTCATAACTGACGCGGTAAGCCCAGAGGTGCCAGGGCTATGAACTGCCAAGCCTAGCAGGGCTTAGCCTTGGCAATTCCTGGCACAAATTAAGCACTATATCAGACTATGAAATTCAGAAGACTGCTTGTCTCCCACTGTATCACTTGCAATCATTTTTGTAGATCCTTGACTGATTTTTTTAAGTTTTTTTGAAGCAACTATGACCTAAATGTATATCCAAAAGCTAGAACATTCATTCTCTGAACATTTTCACTTGCGTCATAAAAAACCCCCCAAAAGACAAAATCCTCTGTCCTTTGTAGCACAAGCAAAAGCCTGAATTTTAGGTCTCTTTCTTGTGGGTAATAGGGAAAAGGTAAAAATTCTTTAAAAGAAGTAACTAAATTTACAGCGTAACTAAATTATTAAATATCCCACTCTGAGTCTCTAGAATTTCTGGAGTACACAGCAGTGAAATTAGGATATTTTGAATTTTTCTCTTGGAAAATCTTTAAATACATATTTAAGCACCTGATACATTTATAGTGCGATCCAAAAATTACTTGTTTCTTTTGAAGAATCTGTTTTTCCAGCTATCTTTCATTTCGAGAGTCACTAGCACATAAATCTGTTCGAAGAGGAGGTACCGTATATACTAGTTCATAAGCCGAATATTTTTGGTAAAAAGTGACGCATCAAAGAGCAGGGCTCGGCTTATAAAAGGGGCTACGCCAAAATTTGATGATTTTAAACTCTGTGAAATCATTGAATTGAATATCTAATACATTGTCGTTTTGTTTACCTGGAGCGTCTGCAAGCATGGAGCCCCCTCAGTTCTCTGCGGCCGCGGTTCGCGGTTCCTGCAGCTTCCATTGGCTGGGAACGGCGAACCACGGCCACAGGGAGCTGAGGGGCTCCATGCCTGTGAACGTTCCAGGTAAACAAAACGTCCCGACCCGCCAGCGGCTTACCCTGAAGGGGCCAGGAGCCAAAGTTTGCAAACCCCTGAAATATAGGGTCATACAGTTTTTACTATTTTTACCTATCCATCTTGGGGTGTCAGCTTATAAACAAATGGGCTAATGAACAAGTATATACGGTATGTTAATGTATTTTAAAATATTCGTGTTTATACGTACGAAGTTTTGACTAGAGGTGGTCAGAAGTTTTCCAACAAAATGTTCTCCTTCGAGTGATGGTTCCTATTGTATTCTATTGTGGATTATGCATTCACCTGGAGTCTGTGAATTTGAAAGTGGTATCCATTGGTCCGCACGCGCACCCTGTCTCACCTCATGCCTTCAACTAAGGGGATATAAGGAGGGGTGGACTGACCACCTCTCCAGTTCCTTCTCACCGCTGCATCATATGGGTCGGAACCTCTCTGTGTCCTAGCTTCAGCTTGATCCCCTAAGATAAGATTTAACTTTATAAATAGTTTTTAGCATCTTGTACAGTTTTAATAGTTGAAGTGTTTTCTCAGTTTTTAGGACTAGATTAAACTTTGGGGGAACACTTCCCCCTCCCCCACAGTACCCTGTGCGGGTACTGGACTATGCCTAGGACTCTGGGCCTCAGACTCTACGCTTCCTGCCTGCAATCCTTCTTGGTCAAAGACAACCACCAGCTCTGCCTATACTGCCTCTAGGAAGCTTACACTGCAGTGAGGTGCAGTATCTGCCGCTCGTTCCCCAGCCATACCTGAAAAGGACAAAAACTGTGCCTTCGAAAACACCTCATGGAAAAGGTTAGGAGTCCTCAATCAGGCCCACGCCGGGGAATTCCTCCCGCCCCCACATATCGGCCTGACTCAGCAAGGAGTGAGCTTCCTCCTGCTAATTCTGACACTGGTGGCAGAAAATTACCTCTATAGGCTCCCTGGCAGGATCTTCTCGGGAACCCAGGAAGCACTCTCCTAAGCATGAGGCTAAGTCTTCCTCGGATTCAGCTCTGAGCAAGCCCAGTACCTCAGCCCAATTGCATTTAGTATGTCCGCAGCCCAGAGGCTTGGCAAGAAATCCCATAAAAATTGGGCTCCATTGGTACGAGAACGTGATCTGTCTTTACCATCATCCTTGGCACCTCCCAAATGTCATGATCCATTGGCATCGACGAGGACCATTCACCGCCTAACCATGGCACCATCTTCTACGGCACTGTCTGTGACGGGTTGGATCACAGAAACCCCTTTGGGAATGCCACCTGATGTGCCTAGACTACCTCTGAGCGCGTTTTCCCTGCCACCTTGGGACTTCAGTACCTTGCCTTGTTTGAGCCAGACACGCTCACCTGCTGCAAACACAGATCCAAGTCTGAACCACGTCCCCCACGAGTTGCAGGCTTAACTAAAAACAGCTTAAGAAGTGCTCCTGTCTCAAGCACTCCGATACCCAGCTCCCAATGGAGTCCAAACCCCAAATAAGTCAATTTTACACTGTATAAAGCTTATACAGGGTAAACTCATACATTGTTCGCCCTCTATAACACTGATAGATATGCACAGCTGTTCTCCCCGCCCCCCCCGTATTAATACTTATTCTGGGTTAATTAATAAGTAAAGAGTGATTTTATTATTTACAAAAAGTAGGATTTAAGTGGTTCCAAGTAATAACAGACAGAACTTTGGCCTGGTGTACACCGGGGAGCGACGGGCCTGTCCGCCCTCCACGGCCAAATTGACAGCGCCCATGGAAGTTGCCAGGACCCACGTTATTGGTCTAGTTGATTTGGGCTCTGGGCAGACCCTTGTCCGCCAGGCGCTCCTCCCGGACATCGAGCGGACCATTGGGGAGGTACGGATTTAGTGCATACATGGAGATGTGAAACCATACCCCACAGTTCAGGTCCCTATCACGGTGAATGGAGCAACTCAGTTAATGAACGTGCCAGTGGCGTCATCCCTTGCCTACCCGGTTATTCTGGGCCGCAACTGGCCAGACTTCATTGAGGTGCTCCGATCCCTACCCACAGAAGAGGCATTCAAGGGAGCTCCACCTGAGATGGAGACAGGCCCCGACGCGAGGTCCGACCCCGGAGTTGTCCCAGTTCCCACACCCAGGCAGGACGGCCTCGAAACGGCTGGCCCCCCTCCTGACCTTGTGGACTTTAGCCAAGATCAAAGGGAGGACCCTACGCTCCGATTTGCCTATGAGCAGCTGGCCTGGGTGGATGGTGAGGTCGTGGATGCCCAGCACGACACCCAATGGCCTAGGTTTGAACTCAATCACGAGCGGCTCTACCACATTGATCAAGACCCCCAGACCCAAGAGGTCCGGACCCAACTTGTGGTTCCCCGCATTCATCGTTGGACTGTCCTGAACCTTGCACGTGACATCCCGGCTGCAGGCCATTTAAGGCAGGAAAAAACTGCGGCTAGGGTCCTGGCCAGGTTCTTCTGGCCCAGTGTCCACCGTGAGATGAAGGATTACTGTGTGTCGTGCCCGGACTGCCAACACGTAGCACTGGCGGGAGTTCGGAAGGCCCCCCTCGTCCCTTTACCAGTAGTAGGTTTACCATTTGAGCGGGTAGCGATGGACCTGGTGGGGCCTTTTCCAAAAAGTAAGGCGGGCCATCAATACACCCTTGTCCTGATGGACTATGCCACCCGCTTCCCCGAGGCTGTCCGCTTAAGAAGTATCACTGCCCACACCATCGCTGCGGATCTCGTGAAGATCTTTGCCAGGGTGGGCCTCCCACGGGAGATACTCACTGACCAAGGGACCAACTTCACCTCTAAGCTGTTCCGTCAGGTATGTGCCCTGTTAGGGATTAAGAAACTGCAGACCTCGGTCTACCATACCCAGACTGACGGGTTGGTCGAACGTTTTAACCGGACCCTGAAGAGAATGTTGTGATGCTTTACCATCCGGGACCTCTGCCAGTGGGACCAACTGCTCCCTCCTTTACTACTGGCAATTCGAGAAGTCCCACAGGCGTCCACGAAGTTCTCCCCATTTGAGCTCCTCTATGGGCGGCGACCCCGCAGGGTGTTGGACCTCTTGAGAGAGACTTGGGAACACACCCCGTCTGCAAGGCAGAGTCTCTTACAGTACATCTTAGGGCTGCAGGGGCGGCTGGCATGGGCGGGCGGGCGAGCTCGCGAAGGAGAACTTAAACACAGACCAAAGAGCCCAGGAGCAGCACTGTAATTGGGGCGCCAAGGCCCGATCATTTGCACCAGGGGACTGAGTACTCCTCCTGCTCCCTTCGGAGGAATCAAAACTTTTTGCCCGCTGGCAGGGCCCGTATGAGGTCCTCCGCCAGGTGGGACCTATCACCTATGAAATCCAGCAACCTGGTCACTGTAAGGAAAAACAGATATATCATGTAAATCTCTTAAAACCCTGGAGGGAATGGGAAGGATTGCTAATTGCCCCATACCCCCCCGAACCGGACCTAGGGCCACAACCTCCAGAGGAGTCAGATAATGGTGAGCCCCCGCTAGCAGAAATGCTCACATTTGAGCAGCAAGAACAGGCCCTCTGCTTAGTGAGGGCGTTCCCCAAGACATTCACCACTAAACCCAGGCAGACTACGCTCGCCTACCATGTGATCCAGAATGAACCCGAGGTGGTGTTCCGAGAGGCAA